TATAACGAGGAAAGGACATGCGTATGTGAGTGGGATGTACGAGAAGTCGTCGCCAAGATCAGCGGGTGCTACTATTTTCCTCCCGAAACAAGGTGCGCAGGATTCATAGGCGTTGGTTTTGTCATTACCGATACTCACTTTCCCCCGTACTCATTGCTGTTGCCTTTTAACGAGTTGATTGTCATCCCGTGGACGGCGGTGGCACCTCATTGGCCCGACACTCTGTGTAGTGATTGCCGCCGCAGTGAGCATTATCGGGAAAAGGGGTTCATTCCACTACCGACACGTGGTGAGGACGGACACAAGGAAAAAGTGACCAGGCTGAGGCTATCCACGTCGGATTCCGAACTTTGTAACGAACGACGCTGGGACTTAATCCGAAAACGAGATCCCTCATGCGTACCCCCGCCTTTCCGTTTGAAAAAATGTAGAGTAGCCCGCATGGAGGTTCAAAAATACTTTTTGGATTAATGAACGTTTGAAAGCAGCACTTGTGTAACGAGCGTGAGGCTGAGGGTGAGCCGAAGGAGAGGAGAGAGAGGGAGAGAGTGAGAGCACACACACACACTCACTCACTCGACATGACGGACTCGGACTGAGGGTCGGACGCAGACACAGTGGCAAGGCACAAAGTCGAAGTCTTGGATTCCGAATGCCGAAACAGCAAGTCACACTGAGTACGAGTACAGCCGCAGAGAACTGGTACGAGACTGCCCCCGTACCGTACGGGGGGCCGGTATAAGTACCGGTGACACGTACGGTACCAGGGGCATTTCTGCAAAGGCCCCCGAGGGCAGAACTGAAAAATGCAGTATTTGAAAGTGGCGCCCGAATTGCAGCATGGCACCAGTTGTCCGAAATCCTACGGTACCAAAGGAGGAGTTTGGAAAAAGGGCGCCAGGCCGAAAACGGGATGCAGCTGAAACAGCAAAAAGATAGACCAGGGATCGAGCCCTGGCGAAGTCCGTAACAACTTGCTATTTCTTTCTCGCGCGGCTATGGCCATTTTCACTAAAACTGGAACCACACGGGGGATTTCAGTTTCGTCTGTCCCCACACTCAATTTTCCCAAAAATCCTTGGCACACCCCATTTTGCTGTTCTTCCAGGGCCTGTTCCGCATATTTTATCAATCCTACCGGAAGACACCACAGGGTGTGAGGTCACAGGAGGATGCCAAGATTGCTGTGATTCGGGATTGTCCAACGCCACACACGGTGATGGAACTATGACCGTTCCTAGGCTGGCTAACTACTACCTGAAGTCCGTCGATAACTTCACATCCATCGTTGCACTGCTATGCAGGTTTTTTATGCAAGAAACAATTTGGCGATGAAACAAAGACAGCACCTCCGCTTTCAAAAAGTTGAAGTGTATGACCGAGTACCCCGTATAAAAGATAGTTGATCCATCCTTAGCCGTTTGTTGTGATACGAGTCAGTATGGCATTGGCGTTGTACTGCAACAAAATGATGGCAATGGGTACAGGCCTGTTGAATTCATGTCCCGTAGGTTTCCCAACGAGAAGGTTGATGCATCAACCTACGAGAGGGAACTCTATGCATTGAGGGAGGCCCTAGATCACTGGCAACACTACTTACTAGGACACAATTTCAAAGTGTACTCAGATCATGAGACACTTCACTGGCTGAAGACCCAAGCCCAAGCCCGCAAGTCGCCTAAGTTAGCAAGGTGGACTGGAGAGATTGACGTGTTTGACTTCGAGCTGAAGCTAGTAAAGGGGAAGTGTGATGTTGTCGCCGACACACTAAGTAGAGGCGCAGACTTCTTTGGAGCAATAGTGACTTACCTCGAAGCAGGAAGCGATCTGCTGCAAAGGATCAAGGCTGCATACCTGGATGACCCTCACCTTAGCACGATAATTAGTAAGGTGAAGGAGGCCCCCTATAAAGTACCGGAATACAGAATGACCTACGGGCTGCTCTTTTAAAAACAATGTAAATGACTGTCTGTGCACCCCCTATAAAGTACCGGAATACAGAATGACGTACGGGCTGCTCTTTTAAAAAACAATGTAAACGACTGTCTGTGCACCCCGAACAGTAAAAAGATTCGCAGCTTAGTCGTAGGTGAGTGTCACGATACGGAAGGACACTTTGGCTGGAGGAAGACCTAAGCAAACCTGTTACCTTTTTGCATGAAGCATGACTGTATCACATACATACAAGGGTTCAAGATTTACAAGCAGAACAAGAGTGCCCCCAGTTGGCTTACTGAAACCATTGCCTATACCGTCAGGCCCTGGCGGCTTAGGGCGTCGTTAGACACTCCTCGGGCACGTGATCCCAAGGATTTCATCTTTGTTCCACCTGTACTCGGAGATGAAATCGGAAGTGAAAATGTGAAAACACTCCGAGGACAAATCCTTGGGCTCCGAGGATTTCCCAGCCAAATCGTCCTTGGCTCCAAAGGACCTCGCGAGGTCCTTTGGGGCCCGAGGATCCGCGTTTCACGGAGAGGAGAAGGCATGCACGTAGAGAGACGTTACAACTGAGAACTAGGATCGTGTCGGCACCCTATTGGCTGAAAGCCTGAAGCATAACTTTTTTTCTTTTTTTTTTCCTTTTTTTTTCCTGACATTGCTCCGAGGATGAGTCCTAAAACCGATGCTCCGAGGATGAGTGTAACGAAGACGACAAAAACCCTGAACTTTTCTGAGGATTCATCCTCGGAGCCCTAGGATGCCCCGAGGAGTGTCTAATGATGCCCTTAGTCTCCATTGGCTTCATGGACATGAAGGTGAAGAGTTGAAATGGCGATAGTCAAGTGATGATTGTAGTAGATCGGTTGTGTAAATTTGCTGTTTTTATTCCGCTGCTGCCTGTAGTGAAGAGTGATTTAGTAATTAGAGAGTTTTTCAACCATTGGGTGAGAAACTATGGGCAAAAAAAAAAGAGTTAGTGACCACGACACTAGATTTACTGGTGAACACTGGCAGCAGTTGATGAAGGTATACGGATAAAAACTAACTATGTCATCCCGTAGACATCCAGAAACTGCAGTAACTGTTACGCATGTACATTAGACCCGATGAGATAGATTGGGACGAGCACTTACCGAAGGTAGCTAGCGCATTCAACAATTCTGTTCATCTTGCCACTTCACGCATGCCCAATGAACTGCGCAAAGGATGGCGCCCTAGGAGGCCAATAGACTGTCTGAACCCCGATGAGATTCAAAGCTTACCTCCAGGCACTAGGGAATTTGCACTGCAATATGAGAAAGACTTACGCACGGTTGGAGAGAACATCCGGAAGGCCGAGCATCAGATGGTAGAACAAGCCAATAAATGTCACCGACCATCGCAGTGTGCTGTAGGAGACTTTGTCTGGGTCAAATCTAAGGAGTTCTTGCCCGAAGAAGGCATTTCTCAGAAACTGCTACCCGCGTACATAGGACTATTAGATGTCAAGGGAGAAACAGATGGACCATCTTACACTATCGATATGCTGGCCCATCTGCACACTTATCCTGTATTTCATGCTTCAAAGCTCTTACCTTGCGTCACTAATGACAGGTTTTCTTCGCGAAGATCGATGGTCCCATCGGATATGGATGGCAGGTACGACATTGACTGAATTGTGGAGGAAGATGTCTATAACCTGGTAGGAGGGGGAGACCAGGGAGACAATATAAGGTACAGTTCCAATACCAGAAACTGGAGGATGAACATTGGTACACAAGGGATGAGTTAGTGGAGACTGCCCCTCACATTGTTTCGTACTACGAGCGGGCTAGAAGGGGAGAGAATATAGTGGACAGGTAAAAGTGAGACCTATTTCACGCTGTCTGTGTGTCGTGGGTCCCGGTCCCAGATTCTCGACTCCCTTCTCTGAAGTCTCACCTGGGTCCAGTCCGAGTTGGCCTCGGTAGGTTATAGAATAGGACCTAGGAGTCCGGTAGGTCGTAGGCCTCGAAGCGTCGAAGGGTCCGGTAGGTAAAGGTCATAGGCCAGTACCTGACAGGAAATGTCTGAGGTCCTGAAGTCCACTTTTCAGCAGCATCCTGGAGAAATCCGGTAGCTTCTTTACTGGCAAACTGCAGTGGACAGGCCGCATCGACCAGTACCGGTCCGGAGCCGACATTGATTCACTTCAGCTGCTATTCATAGTTGCTACAGTGCAAGCAGCAGGTCAGTTGTCAATTCACGTGTTGTGGAAGCTCTGCTGTGGTGCTTGTGCGACTTTGAGTTGGACAGCCGGGTGTATAGCAAGAAGGAGGGCGAAGGAGAAGCGCCATAGCTAGGGTGTAGGAGGAAGTCGAAGGCGGCCATAGCGGCAAGGGTGGAACTTGAGGGCGAAGTGGCCCAGTAGCGGTTGTATTCAGGGGGGTAGGAGAGCGGCCCAAGGCAAAGAGAAAAGAGCACGAGAGTAGTATAGGGAGAGACCGCAAGAGAGAGAGGGAGGTTGAGCGGTCGAAATATGAGAGAGAGAGAGAGAGAGAGAGAGAGAGAGAGAGAGAGAGAGAGAGAGAGAGAGAGAGAGAGAGAGAGAGAGAGAAGATTGCTACTGATTTGGAATCTCGGTGCCAGTGGCTGTTAACAGCTTGTAAACAATTTCAATTTTGTACAATAATAAAGATATTGGCGGTGCTGTTCTTCTTCATGCATGCTGAATCGATTGTGGTGTCCGGTTGTGAGTGCTTGGTGAAATTTCAGTGTGCTGGGTGATAAGTTTCGGGTGCTTGCAGTTTGTGGTTCATTGCAAAGAACGTATTTAAGAGGGCACAACAGGACAAAAACTTACCAAAACTTCAAATGGGCGTAGCTCAGTTGGTACACCCACAAATTGTTGAAATGCAGACCTGAGTTTGAATCCATATGGAAGTAGATGAACTAAATTCATGAATTACCTGGGGCCGGTCAGTTTCATGATGACATCTCAAGGTCATGGCCCTTTTGGAGAAAAGAGAGAAGAGAGGAAAGAAAGAAAAAGAAAAAAAGAACTTACCAAAAGTGTGTGTGTGTGCGTGTGTATGCAGGTCTGGGTGAATGAGTATGATCTCGGGCCACAGCGGAATTGCATGATGACCTTTGGAGTGAGTGGCAGGCTTTGGTGGATGATGATCTTTTTCCCATGGTGGTCGAAACCACCACGAGGAGATGGACGGGGCCCACCAAACCTGATGCGCACAAGTCCCAGCAGCACTGTCCCGACAAATACCTTTGCCCCGTCAGCGAGCGATCATCATGTTGTTTTAGTTAACGAGATAGAAGGGCGAGCCCAAGGACAACAAACACACGTTGCCGGCATGGATAACAAGTCCTTGGGGTGCACTGTCAGGGGAGGAGTCGGGAGCGGAGATGCAGGTGACTCTGGGAATACTAATCATAATGCGATGTGACTGGAAGTTTACTTCTCGCCGACAAATTATCACATCGCGAAAGTGACAAACCACACACCGTTCTGCAGTCCTTCTCTCTCAAACTCTGGAGTGTCTTGTGCTATAGTGGAATGGGAATCAAATGCCAAACAACGGGAATCTTCACTGTTGGTCGCGGCATCAGAAACTTCGTCCTCCGGTTCCATGGTCGAGCCGGCTTCCCTATAGATCCAGCCAGTGAGAGGAGGCTGATTATCATGATTCCAAAGGCCAGCCCTTAAGGGTTCAAGGAAAGGATCCAACAACGCAAAGGTCTCGAGGCTGAAAGCGTGGAGTTTACATCATTTAACTGCTTTTCAACATCATTGTGCTGGATGGATTATGAGAATTTGCCAAAGTTTTCAGTGCTCGTCGGTTCAATCCGCTTGTGCTGGATGGAATACTAAATATTTCAATGTGCCAAAAATTTTGGTCCTCGTCAGCTCAGTCGGCAAGGGGCGAAATCCTGGATGCTTCCCCTGCAAGTGAGAGGAAGTGGTCTTGAAGTTCTATATGTGGGTGAGTTTTGCAGTCCCCTTATCCCCCTCCTGATGCTAAGGCTCCTTGAGGAGTCCTTGAGGAGGAGAAATGACCACACAGGCGACAGCAGTTTTGTCATGGATTCCAAGGCAAGATTTATTCCGAAAAGCGTCGTTTACGAAAACCTCGAAATTGCTGCTGAGTCAGTGGTGCCAAGTCTGCTGACTGCCTCCCTGACTTGCTGATCAAGCATCCATTTTCCGGTTGAGTACTGTTGATGAGGATCACTGCAGGTGGTGGGTGCAAACACTGCAAAGGGACCACACTCTCACATCTAACAACTTTGAGTCAAGGATGGAAATTTACTCGTGCCACAGCAGTCTTACAGTTTTACGACCTACGATTAATTTCACTGTTTTCCAAGTTCTTTGTTGATGCTGAACGCTGACCCCTCTAAATTTCACCCAGACTGGATAGCACCAAGTTGGCCAATTGCCAACCCATCTTACTCCCTTTTGATTGTTGGTTCCTGGTGGTGGAGGGGTCTTCATCCTCCAGCACCTCTACTATCTCTACCCTCTCTTTAAACTTCCAAGTACATAATCAATAGATTCTATACAAACACCATGCTGTCACATGCAGCATTGATTCTTAGGCTTCACCGAAGGAAGGAAGGAAGGAAGGAAGGAAGGAAGGAAGGAAGGAAGGAAGGAAGAGATGGCGGAAGGAAGGAAGGAAGGAAAGGAAGGGAAGGAAGAAAGGAAGGAAGGAAAGGGAAGGAAGGAAGGAAAGGAATGTGTATTTTGACAGCATAGTTATGAAAAGAGATCACTCTAACAAGTTTTTCCAAACATCTGTACATGCTATGTCTTCATGGGTGCTTTCACTGCTTTGACCTTGTTGCAGTGCTTCGCGCCCTTGAAATTGTGCCTAGGAAAGAAAGGAAGGAAGGAAAGGAGAGAAGGAAGGAAGGAAGGAAGGAAGGAAGGAAGGAAGGAAGGAAGGAAAGGAGGTAGAGAATCCTTTCAGTCTGATGCACGCTATGGATGAAGATCATGCAGAGGGCTTGGCAATCTACTCCTAAGTTGAATCATTTGGACGAGTAATTCATTTAGGTAACTCAATTGATTGTTTATTGTAGATCATAACGTAGTCCTTTTTTAGAATTCTCATTCATACTTAATGATGCTCCTTGGGTGGGGGAACGGGAATACCTAAGGAACTTCTTTTCAATTTTGACAAATATTTTGAGAAATCGAGAGAGTATTCAACATTGGGCCCAGAGGTCATAGCCTTTCTTAGAGGTTTTGTGGAGCGCAATGGAGCTTGAGTAAATGCTTGCTTTTAACAGTTGTTAATTCAACTTAATTGTAATAGTTCTCCTAACATCGTAAAACTGTGTCGATGATGTCGGTGACAGACTCGACACACCATATACATTTGTTCAGAAAACAATTGTGTCAATGCTTGAAATGAGCACTACTGAAACAAAGGCCTTACAAAGCATATTTACAGAGTGCAATGTTGTTCACAATTTAGGGGGGATTGGTGTAGCGGACCCACCAGGTGTGGTGCTCCGCTAGTGACAGAGATGGAGATGGAGGAAGAAGGGGGAGCAAGATGGCACAACGCAGCTCCCCACGC